TTTTTTAATAAATATATTCTATAAATCTTTAAATATTAAATATATTTATTTAATTGCAAGTTAATATGTAAAATTTTATGTAATTATATTTTAATTCAAATCTATCAAGTTGGTATATCATGCTTAATAAGATAACTAATATATATAAGTATATTTATCTTATGTCTTTTAATGGTTATCTGTGATACTAAACATTGATATTTTCATGCAAATAATTACCTGTGAAAATATCAAATTTTATTTAACAGCCTTACATTATATTTAATAGTTCTTATGAATTTTATTAGTTTTTTTAAATAACATAAAATGATATATGCATTTTGATATTGTGATATTGAAAATTATTATTTTGAACTATAATTCTACATAAAGAAATTTTTTATATAATTATTTTGAATAAATAGCATATGTAAAAATATATATATATATAATTAGTATATTATTGAAAATGAAATATAACATTCATAAAATGACAATTATTAAAAATAGAATGTTGATTCTGAAATTCTTCTTAAACTATGTTTATATCTTGTGCAGAACTAATATTAGCATTACTATTAACATGAGATTCAGTAAATTTAGCTAGTATAATAAAAGAAACTTGATTTAACTTGTTTGAATTTCTTAACAGCTCAATAGTACTAATCAAAGTTTTCATTATATTAATTTGTTAATGTTTATTAATACTCTTATATGCATATATTCTTTGCATACTCTTATGATCTGTGATATTCATAATAGTATTTTCTGGTATATTGGCATTCTGAAGAATTTGGGCAGCAGTTTTTCTTTCAGAATGGTTTGTTAAAATTTCTTCTAGAAGTTTTACTTTTATTTTTTGCCCAATGTCCTTTATAAAGTTTCCAACTCTGTTTATATCACAGTAATTTTTATAATACCAAATACTGATACCTTACTAATTCAGATTTGGATGTAAGTAGAAGTTGTTAGATGTATTAGAAGGACATTTGGAAATATAGTTTATAAAATTACTGACAGAGCCAAAAGTACCAGATGGATTAGGTGATAAGTAAATTTGATGCACATCACTTTTTTGAATTTCCTGTTGATTATTCTTACTATAATATCTGTAAAATAAGATATCACTATCTTATTGAATCTGAAACTAATTAATCTGAAGTGAATAATGTTCTTCATCTCAACAGGTAAAGATTGTTGCATTTTGAAAAAAAACTCTGTACAATAAGCCTTAAGGTGTTTTAGGATTTAAGAATTCATTATCTAAAATTTCTTTTACTTGCTGAGCTGTTAATGCTATTGATCCTTTTTTTTTACCCAATTCTTTTTCTTGTAAATTTTTTACTTAACCATTTAAAATATCATGCAAATTTGGAAACTGATATTTGTCATGTAAATTAAAACCATGAATTGTATTATTTTTACTAAGATATCTATTAATTGCATCAACAGCCTGCTTGATTGTTGTTGCCTTATATTCACCACTATCTTTTTTTGTCATTTGTGCAATATACTCACATATTTGTTGTTTAATAAGACAAGAATCTTTAATCAATTCAAGTGATATAACATAATTATACTTGCAACAAAAATCTTCAAACTTTTTTATCCAATTTTGTATAGACTTTTCTGTATTGTAAACTGCAGTCTTTTTCCTATAAAAATCCAATTTCTGTTCTATTTCAGATCTTGGTATATCATTATTTAAGTTTATACTTTCTTCAGGAATATTTTTAGAAATATAAGTATATGTATTAATGAAAACAAGAACTGGTATATTATGAAATTTTTTCTTTTTTTGATGCTAGTTTGGCATTGTATGAAAGAAAAGTCAAAAGAAAAAATATTAGTAAAATAATCATAGTCATTAGGATTTAGAGAATAAAATATATTTAATAGATTGCTATTGATATCATGTATCATCAACAGACAATTATTTATTATGCATCATTAACAGACAATTATTTATTATATATTATCACAGCTGTGCTGCAATGATGCATAATAAATAATTATTCATAATAATGCATGATATATACACCAATTTATTAAATATTTATTACATATATAATATATATATTTTATTAATTTTTTTTGTAAATAAAAAATTTTTAGTTAAAGAAAATTTAATAAATACTAAATAAAATAAAATTGAAGAAAGAAAAAAAAAATTATTATATTGTTTTTTTTTTTTTTAAATATTAAGATGAGTACTTGTAACTCAGAATTTTATTGATAGTATATTTGACTAATAGATGTTTTATAACCACAGAGGGCAACTATAGGAAGAGTATACAACTAGCTACTTGTACAACTTTAGTTATTGTCTAATTTAAGTAGTTTGCTTGAAGGTTCTACACTAGTTGCCATATCTAAAACCTGCTTGTAGGTTCCTTATTTAACTACTCTGTTTCTGTATCCACCCATCTACCTTTGTCTACCAACAACTCTGACTGATGCTAGTAAAAATAAGCCATAACCACTAAGACTTTAAAGCAATTTACTCATATGAGAAACCTTTGACCTTGTACTAAATCTTTCAGAATCTTCTGTATCCTATTCTTACAGCTAACCTGGTATTGCTATGGCCAAGACCAACACTAATAATCAGAGTGTATTATTAAACTGCTATGGCTTTGTAGAGTTTATCCCAATTCTGATACTAACTTCACAACATATCCCTACTACTTTGGTATTAAATTCAAGTTCCATCAAGCTGCCAAACCAGATAGCCTAGAAAGGCAGATCAAAATCATAAACCTCTGGTTTATATGTTTGTCAGCATGTAATCTTTTTTTCTGAAATTCAGCAATTCCAGTGGCCTGATTGGTTTATTTGGTCTTTTCTCAAAGACCAGTACATTTGCCTGGTTTCACAAGTTCTAACTCCATTTTATAGGTCTAGTCTTTACAATAGTACTATCGAAAGTTCAGATTATCTTTCTACTTAGATCTTTCAAGTAGGCTTTTATCTTTCTTCTTTTGGTTCCTATGATTTACATGGTTACAAGAAATTATTGTAAGTTTGTACTGCACAGTACCAGTTTGCATTTCTTTGTGTAACTACAAACCTTGTTTCAAAGGCCAATATCATATGACTGTTACATAAATGCTATATGATCTGCAAGTTATGCTAGTGTGATATAAGTAACAGATGTCTTATCCCAACCAATTGTGAGAGACAGTTAACTGTAATATAGAAAGAATTTTCAAATTTCTGTCAACACTAGGATTTGAACTCTGAACTTGCCACTTGAGGGTTAACAATCTAACTACTTTACTAAGTTGTCACACTCCTTTATTATATTGTTTTTAATTAATAACTATAATAGGTTTTTATAATAATTAATCAAAATATAATTTTAAACAATTAGCATAAATTGTCTTTTTTAAAATGTTATTATTTATTAAATGAAGTTTGTAAGTACCAGAAGCAACTATATTATAAATATAGTAAAGATCTTTTCATTTTTCTTTAAATTTATTACTATATATTTTAACTTGTGCTAACTGATATAATAAAACTTTATTACCAATATGAAAAGAAGTTTTCTTAACATGTTCATCATGCCATTTATTTTGTTTTTGTTAAGTTGTTTTAATATTTTGTTAAGCTTTTAGTTGAACTTGCTATAGTTTATTTGTTATTTTTTATTTTTTATTTTTTTTGTTAAAGGCCATACTTGTGGTGATACTTTATCAACTTTACATTAAGTTAGCTATTACAACTATTTTTACAGAGATAAGAGTACAGCTAATCATGTATGCAACTTTTGGTTGCCTATTTAAGTAGTCTACTCTAAGGTTTTATACTAGATGCTGTATTTATAACCTACTAGAAGATTATTTATTTAAACCTTCTAATCATCTGTTTTGTTATATTGAAATCTCCAATGTACCTCTATATATACCTACCCAGTATACTGTCTAAGCAGTATGGTTACCTACCCTTTTTATACTAGTTCTCAGATCATTACATATTTCAGAGTATGTTACCTAACAGTAAAGCACAGGAGGCCTCCTGTTGTTAACTATCTATCTACTTTTAGAATACTAACATGGGCTACTCTTACAAAGTTCACCTAAATTCTAGTACTAACTTCATAGCATATCCCTAGTACTTTTAGTATATTCCTGCTTTGAATCCAAACTCCCAATCCAGATAGCTCAGAAGAACTATAACCTGTTCTTAATATATTGAGGCTAACCTAATATTCTTTTTCTTTGGTCCAAAATTTGGTGGTTTGGTTAGTAATACTTCTCATTCAAGGTTTTTGTCTATCTGAATTCTTCATATTAGTATTCATTTCCTAGATTTAGCCTTTACAGTAGTACTGTTAAAGATCTGTGTTATCTCTCTGCTTGGAATTTTCAAATAGACTCTGACTTCCCTATTCTATAGATTTACATAGGCCAAGAACTTATTTTAGGTTTGCACTGCCCAGTACTGTTTTGCATTCTTCTATGTAACATGTTATACAGATGCCCCAAACCTGTCAGTTATGCTGGTGCGACCATAGTTACAGGTATCCTATCCCAACTGATCAACAGAATGCCATCACTGTAATACCATCTATATATTACATAAGTGATTATTCAAATTTCGCTGTTGGTAGGTTTTGAACTCACAACCTACCACTTAGAGATATGACAACTTATCTATTTCACTAAGTCATCACACCCTAGTTTATTTGTTATAAAATTAATATAAACTTGTAGTTATTGTTCATAAGATAGTTTTTTAATATTAATTGTAAAACTTAATGCTAAATTCAGAAATGTAATGGCTTTTTGTCTATAAAGTAACTCAAAAGGTTCATATTTAGTAGTTGATTAAAAGATGGTTCAGTAGACAAATAAAGCAGCAAAAATAAAAGTATTTTATAAATCCTTATAATTACTAACATACTTTGCTAAAACAGTATACAAAGTTTTATTAAACCTTTCAGTTAATTCATTAGTTTGAAGATGGTAAGCAGAAGCAAGTTAGTGTTTAATTTTTATTAGTTAACAAAAAGCATCAACTAAACTATTACAAAAAGAAGTTCTTTGATCAGATAACAGTTTTTAAGAACATCTATAATAAACAATAATTTTATTATAAATAAACTTGGCAATAGTAGTAGCTTTCATGTCAGATAGAGCTTTAGCTTCAGGCCATTTTGTTAAATATTCAGTAGTTACTACAATATATTAGTTTTTATTAAAAGTAATTTTTAAAGGTCCAACAATATCAATTTCTATTTGATAATATAGAGTTGATATTGGCAATGGATATAAAAATTCATTTTGTTTTGTTCCTTCTTGTTATTGATAAGTATTACAAGTTTGGATATAATTTGCAATACTTTTATACATTTTAGACTAATAGTATTTGTTTTTAGCACAATTATAAGTTTTATTAATGCCAAAATAACTAGCAAGAATGTCAGAATATAATCTATATAGAACAGTATATAAGTCAAACTCCTGAACTACATGTAATAACTTTTGTAAAGACCTTTTTGGTTTCCTGTATAGTTGGTTATTTTTAACAATATAATGTGTTGCTTGTTTTTTAAATTGTTGTTGTTCTTTTAAGGTTAAGTTTTGTAGTAATTTTGAAGTTGTTAATAATTAATAAAATTGATATAAAGTGTTTGTTCTATTGTAGTTATTGAGTTATAATGTTTTTCTTAGAATGGATTCTTAAAAAGATGAGAAAGTGTATTCACATTAAAATAAACTTGTCTTTTTTGATATATAATATTATAAAAATAGTCAGCAATTCATTATATCTATTAAGTTACCTGTTTAGCAAGATTAGGTTAATTTAGTAACTATTTAGAGCAGAATAATCAGTTACCAATTCAAAAGGCTTAAGATAAATATAAGGTCAAAAGTATTCCATTCTTTATATTGCAGCAAAACATTCAATTTTAGTAGAGCATACATAGTCCAATCTTCAACTCCAATCTATTAACCTATTTTTAAATACATTAAATCTTATTACATTCCAATTTGTCAACTTGAAAAACACATGGTCACTTTACATTTCATCATTAGATTGGCATATTGGCAAAATAACTAATACATCTAACTTTCAAGTTCTTTTTCAAAAATTCCAAATTACGAACTCAACAACTAACACAATCCATATTTCTCCTACATCAACAATACTTTAAATAAATTACAAACAAACTATTAATATTAAATACAAAACACAAAAAAGAAAACAAAACTTCGAACTCAACATAAACAATCAAGAAATTAAAACACTCTGCAACATTCATGCAGATCTATATAAACCAGCTCCAAAATTACTACTATCGCTTTCACTACCTTTTTCAGAAATCTTCCTAATACAAAACACAATATCTGACCCCATATACCAAAACCAACTCATAAACTTCTACAAAAAATTACTATCTCTTGAATCAACTAATATACATTTTTATACAGATGCTTTTATACTTAACTT